TGAAAATGTCGGGCTGTGGAAGGAAGTTGAGAATTTGAAGACTGATAAGAATGCTCTCATGCAGGAGTTAGTCAAACTTAGGCAGAACCAGGAGAGTGCTGATAATAAGTTGCTTCGCCTGAAGGATCGTCTTCAAGGAATGGAAAAGAATCAGCAACAGATGCTCTCATTCTTAATTATGGCAATGCAAAGCCCAGGCTTTTTGGTTCAGCTGCTTAAGCCTAAGGAAAATAACCGGTATATGACTGAAGCAGGCAATATGCTAGGTAGCACTGCAGAGGATAGTGAACCAGTAGCTTCTGATGGTATGATAGTAAGATACCAACCACCTGTGGAGGAAGCACCAAAGCCAGTACTCAAACCAGTGATAGACTCGAAGATTCCTCCTGAATTTGATGCATCTTCTGGAGGGATGAAAGATTTTTGGATGAATATTGATTTTGTGAAAGCTCTTGTGGATGATAGTCACATACCTTTTGCCCCACCAGATTTACATGACGATGGTGCTTGGGAAAAGCTTCTTCTAGCTAACCCTTTTCTAGAGAATGGAGAAGATGGAAAGAAAGATAAAGAATGCCCTACAGACTCGGGTATGGAAGTTGAAGTAACAGGGTCCGGAACGCATTTGGACAAATCACATAATTTTGAACTTCTACTGCAAAATATGGGGAATTCTCATTACTTAGAGATTGAACCGATTGTAAATGGATCACAGTTGGAGACATCCGAGAACTTGGAACTTCTAACAGAGCAAATGGGGCATTTGACTTCTGAAAGTGACCATAGGGATGAAATCCCTAGTAAGTAGTGTAAATAATATGGTAGTCTCTGAAACTTATTTTAAATATGTATAAGAAACTAAGAAAGTGATATATCTCCATTTCATACATTCATATTTCTCAATCTATAGAGGAAAAGGTTGGGATTCTAATTATTTTTAAAAGTCAGGATTGATATATATATATATATATATATATGAAAAGTTACTATGACTAATCATTCAAACACGTGTTAGATCGATCTAAACTCTTTACTGTCCTTGTTCTTGATTGTGTGTACTATCAAAGGAAAAAAAATTTAATCATAATATAAAAAAAATTCAACCATGTGAAAACTATTTTTTTATAAAAAAAGAAAATGGTTTATTGGCTTTTACTGTGCTAGTATGAAAATTTACACAGAAGTGGAAAGCTCAAGGACTTTTACGGAAGACGATCAATACTGGGGTCTAGCCCTTCAATTTTGAATAAATCCATCACTCCTTTGCTTGGTCAATTGTGTTCATCTTTAAGAAAATGGCAAGTTTGATAAGGTTTTCCCAAATCCTCTGCCTTTCCTTCATGTTGTTATGGTTTCGGGTCCAAAGCTCCTCACCCTCTCAATCTTCTCCGGATTCATCACCACATTTGTGCCGTCTTGAAGAGCGTTCTGCATTGCTTGATTTCAAAAGCACTACTAATTTCCTGGAATTCTGTTTTCTTAGTAGGGATATAATACAAACTTGGAACGAAAGTAAAGACTGCTGCTCGTGGGAAGGCATCACATGCGACAAGGTGAAAGGTCACGTGATTGGCCTTGATCTTAGCAGGAATTGTCTTAAAGCCAATCTAACTACAAATAGTAGTCTCTTCCGCCTTGAGAAATTGCAGAGCCTCAACCTTGCTTACAACCATTTTAGCAATCTCTCTTTTGGGTTCGACCGTTGGAAGGGTTTGACATATCTTAATCTTTCATGTATGAGATTTCATTTCTTTTTCTTTTGTTTAAAATCTCCATGCTTCCAAAACTGGTTTCACTTCTTCTAATGTGACAAATCTTTAACCTTGCAGCTTCAAGATACATGGACAGCTCTCTCCTATTTGATGAGATCTTCTTGCTATCGAAATTGGTTTCACTCGATCTCTCTTATAATTTTGGTTTGCATCTTGACAATATAAAGTTTCAAATGCTTGTGCATAACTTAACAGAATTAAGGTCTCTTATCCTTGATTTTGTGAATATGTCTTTGGTTGTGCCTTCTTCCTTGCCAAATTTGACTTCTTCCTTGGAGCATTTGAGCCTCAGCTTTTGTCAGTTGCAAGGAAACTTTCCAAGCCAAGTTTTTCAGCTAACGAAATTGGTTTCACTTGATCTCTCTCTTAATGATGGTTTGCTTCTTGACAACATAAAGTTTCAAATGCTTGTGCATAACTTAACAGAATTAAGGTTTCTTAACCTTGATTTTGTGAATATGTCTCTAGTTGTGCCTTCTTCCTTGCTAAACTTGACTTCTTGCTTGGAGCATTTGAGCCTTAAAGGTTGTAGTTTGCAAGGAAACTTTCCAAGCCAATTTTTTCAGCTAATGAAATTGGTTTCACTTGATCTCTCCCTCAATTATGTTTTGCTTCTTGACAACTTAAAGTTTCAAATGCCTGTGCATAACTTAACCGAATTAAGATTTCTTATCCTTGATGATGTGAATATGTCTCTAGTCATGCCTTCTTCCTTGCTAAACTCGACTTCTTCCTTGGAGCATTTGAGCCTTAGCTTTTGTGATTTGCAAGGAAACTTTCCCAACCAAGTTTTTCAGCTTCCATTTCTCCAGCTTCTTGATTTAAGCTACAACTCTCATTTAGGAGGTAATTTGCCCGAGTCAAACCAGAGTAGTACCCTTGAGTCTTTGATTCTTGCAAACACAAACTTCTCAGGGGAGTTGCCTCATTCAATTGGAAATCTTAAACTCCTAAAGGAATTGAATCTTGGTAGCTGCCAATTTTATGGATCAATTCCTAGATCTCTTGCAAATCTTACCAAGATAACTCAACTAGATTTTGATTCCAACCTTTTACAAGGGAAAATTCCAGATGTTTTTGAAAAAATGCACAAGCTAACTTATTTGAGCTTTTTTCATAACAGTTTTGATGGTGAAATTCCTACATCAATGTTGAACCTCACCCATCTCACTCATTTGAAACTGTCATCAAATAAGCTATTAGGTCCTGTACCATCTTGGTTGTTTTCTCTGCCTTCTTTATCCCATTTAGACCTCCAAAACAACTGCCTTACTGGACCTATTGATCATGTTAAGATGCCCAATCTCATTTTACAAGAAGTCTATTTGTCCAATAATATGATAAGTGGTTCAATTCCTAGCTCCTTCTTTGATCTTGTAAATCTTACTATAGTGGACCTTTCTTCAAATAACTTAACTGGCACCATTACACTCGACATGCTTTCAAGGCTTGTAGACCTTGAGGATCTTGATCTTTCCAATAATAGTTTGCTGTCTTTGAGCAATAATGGCACTGCTGTTAACTATTCCTTTCCAAACCTTCGATCTTTAAAATTCTCTTCTTGCAACATACACAAGTTCCCAAGTTTCTTAAGGAAGGCAGAGAAATTGCAAGAATTGGATATTTCCAAGAACAAGATTTCTGGTCAAATTCACAAATGGGAAATAGAAGGGATGTCATTGTCCAGTTTAAACCTTTCTTATAACTTCTTGACTGGTATAGATTCATTTGGTTTTGAAAATCTTGAAACAATTGACCTTAGATCCAACTTACTACAAGGATCACTTCCCAGTTTATCAACAACTTGGGATTCTATGAGAAATCTCTTCATTTCAGGGAATAATTTGACTAGTGAAATCCCTTCTTCTTATTGTAATTTTACTTTTCTTAGAGTTCTAGTCTTAGCTAATAATAGTTTGGGAGGAAAAATTCCCAAATGTCTTGGAAACTTGAGTGATCTCAACATCTTGGATTTGCGGATGAATAAGTTCCATGGTGGGATTCCAAATTTATTTGACAAAAACAATTCATTGATAACCCTTCATCTAAATGGCAACCAGTTGGAAGGGATACTGCCACGGTCTTTGGTTAATTGCAGTAAGTTGGAAATTCTAGATGTGGGGAACAACAACTTGAATGATACCTTTCCACATTGGTTAGGTGTTCTTCCATCGCTACAAGTTGTTATCCTTCGATCTAATCGATTTCATGGTGCCATCAACAATTCTATGCCTACATTTTACTTCCCTCAGTTGAGAATCATTGATATCGCACAGAATGATTTTATGGGTCTCCTACCGAGTAACTATTTCAAAATTTTGAAAGGTATGAGAGATGTAGCTCCAGCTGATAAAGTCAAATTGGGATACGTTGGTGACTATATACAATGTTTAATAAATGCAAGTTGCCTAGCTTCTATTTATTTTTATAAGGATTCTGTGAAGGTAACAATGAAAGGGTCAGAGAGGGAGCTTGTCAGGATCTTGAAAATTTTCACAAATATAGATTTCTCAAGCAATCAATTTCATGGACCGATTCCTGACGAGCTAGGAGAGCTCAATTCACTTTTATTGCTAAACTTATCTCACAATAGTCTCAATGGTCAAATCCCATCATCATTGGGGAAATTAGCAGAACTCGAGTCATTAGATCTCTCATCAAACAAGCTTGAAGGCAGGATTCCAGAGCAATTGACAAAGCTGACGTTCCTATCAGTTTTGAATCTTTCACACAACGAACTTGTCGGCCATATACCTGAAGGGAATCAGTTCAGTACTTTCTCAAATGATTCCTACATTGGGAACTCGGGGTTGTGTGGATTCCCATTGACAAAGAAATGTGAAGAACCAAGACCACCTTCATCACAATTTGATGGAGAAGATGACTCTATAGCAGTCTTTGAGTGGAAGTTTGCATTGGCAGGCTATGGGTGTGGACTGGTGCTAGGACTTAGTCTGGGATACATTTCCTTCACTATTGGAAAACCATGGTGCATAGTGAAGAAAGTGGAGAAATATCAACAGAAATTAGTTGCAAGGTGCAACCAAAGTAATAAGCAGAGAAAAACCCAAAAAGCCAACCAATGCTCTTAAGTGAGTAAGTTTCTACAACTCTCTATAATATTTGTGTTCTATGAAAGTTCTAACCATAAAAATCAAAACATGTTATATAATGGTGACACTTAATTTTTCTACTTTTGCTTGATTTTATATAGGTGCAAGCAGGTGTGGTTGATTTCCAACTCCAGGGAGATCTAGCAACAATTGCTTCTTGAGTTTGTTTCCATCTTTTCATGTCCATTGTTGATATATAGTTGTATTGACTTGTGTGGGAATTATGGTTATGTATGAATTTGTGTTGATTTCTTTTGGATTTCATCTATCTACTCTGCACGCAGTTGCTCATGTATTTTTCCTAGTGTAATTTGTTTCTATTGATGTTATCTCTTCATATTTTCTTCTCTCTTCTTTTGTTTTCGTTGTCTTTGAACGATGTGTTTTACTGAAGTAAAATGTAAAATTCTTTAATTTTTGGACCCCAAACATCACCTTTAGCTATATTTCTCCGATCAACGTGGAAGCAGAGACGCATCAGACGAATCTTGGATGATAGCTGAGCGATTTCAGGGAGGATTATCACTTAAGAGGGCCGGGTGAGGGACGATCCCAACGTCCTTTGCTCTCCGAATGCCCATCCTCTATCCATTGCCAACTCAAGTCTTATTCTTTGACTGGTGATCTGATACATAGGTAGGTAATTTTCTTTTGGTGTTTTCCTTTTGTTTTGTTGAGATATTGACTTTTGTCTTAGGGGGAAAGTTGTAATTTTTGGTGTGCATTAAATTAATGTGTTTTGCCTTTACCACTTAAACTAAAAAATTTTAGATATTTTTATGCTGCATATGCCAAGGTTGAGATAAGATGTTTTTGTCTCTTAAAAACAATATATGTAGGTTAGCATTAACATATGTAAGTTCTAGGTCTCATTTGTAAACTTTTATTTAAATTCTGAGATGTATACACTGTATTCATGGCTTGTCAGTGTAGCTCATACGACAGAGTAGAGATCATTCAATTTGATTTTATTTTGTCGAGATGAATTGGAGTTAAATTTGTAGTTCATTCTGTGAACTCATCAATGGATATTTCTATTGTCATGGCTAAAGTAATTACTTGTTTTGATGGCTCTGATATTCAGGTACTTATTTTGCAGTCAAAGGCCGAGAGTTATTCTTGAATTGAAACATGAAAAATGTCTTTACTTGTTATTGCCATTGATATTGCATTGTCTTATGAATTATTTCGTGTACCTAATGAGAAGCTAAGATAAAGAAAGTTGTGTCCGATGGATATTTTTCTTTTCGTGTCACATTCCTCAAGGGAAGGCAATTCATTTATGAAGAATGTAAACTGTTTCATTAGGAAAATTGTGTAACAACTTGAATTTATTGTAAGTTCTATTTAACAGTCTGTTTCATTAAGGTTAAGCACTTGAATTTGTTTAGCAACCTCAATTTACTATAAGTTCTATTTGTGCCATTTCTAATTTTTCTGCTAGCTGCGTTGTATTATGTCCTAGACCAAGTTTCTTGCTTTTCCTTTCTCATTTTACTCTCTTCACTCACCAAAACTTTGTATTACTCTGGGCCTAGATTAATTAATAAAGATTTTTTATTGTTATGAGATTCAGTTAATTAAAGTGTAATGGAAATTGGGAAAGTAGTTAATGCAGGTCTTATGTGTTTCTATCATATTCAGGCGTCCAAGGTGATTGTGATACTGTGTGTCTCTCTCAATTCATCATGGATGCTATTGCTTTTTAAAATTTCCTTGCCATTTAGCCTTTATTGGATTGGCACTCTTCTTTTAGTTGTCTTAATTCTTTTTGTTCTTTTTGAAAGCCTCTTGAATCTTTTATTAATTTCATCACAGTTTATCCTTTGATATTTTTGGTGGATCACTACAGAAATGGGGAAAACTCACATTGTCACAGAGTGGTACATTGTTTGCCATAACTAGTTCACTTTGCTGTGTATTGCTACTCTTAGACACTTGGACACTTTTTGGTGCTACTGCAGAAGGTTTGTTTAGTCTGAATCATTTCAAATATCTTTAAAATATGGAGTGCTCTTTTAAGGATATAATGACTCAAGCTGCTTGGTCTTAGGGATGCTAATCAACAGAGGTTGTCTGGGTGTAGTTCCTCTTTAAACCAACAAAGAGTGACTGTTGCCTTGGAAAGAAATTCTTTAGGTATACCATAATCTTTTAAGATAAGTTTGGATCGGAGAAAGAAGTCTATAGATTCAAATCAATTTTCTTTTAAATATAATATGAAAATCTGACACCCACTGAATTTCTTGACTGGGAGTTATAGCATGGAAATGGGACACCACTAGTTTACCCACCAAGTGCTTTTATTAGATGACTGTTGCTAGTTCTTATGCTTTTAGTCATTGTGTCTTGTTGCAGCAATCATTGACATAATCCTCCTCCATTGGTGGAACTCGAGGTGATTCCTTATATAATTAGCCTGCCGGTTGCAGATGGATTCAATAGAAGTACTCCAAATGGTCTAAAGTTTTGGGTAATCCTCAGCTACATGATTTCCAAAAAAACATAATTTAATAGTACAAAAGTGTTATTTCCTTGTTTCATTTTTAGTTATTCTGCTTTCTCTTTTTCAATGAATAATGGAAACTTTCTGAATTTATTCTGGTATTTAAATTCAGCTACTTTCATTGTCGGACAATTTGTGCGGTCACCATAGGAGATGATGCTGTGATATTAGCTTTCAGGTGAGTAAGTTTGTTGTGTTTTGTGATAATATAATATGCAGCTCTCGTCATTTAAAAGAAACGACCATATTAGAAAATAATAATAATAATAAAAAATAGAGGAGAGAAGGAAACCTAAAAGGCGAAAATATATGGAAGAAAATTAGGAGAACACACATGTAATTGGCAAATCATGTTTGATGCATTTAAACAGTAAATTGAAAGCACAAATAACGGAAACATACATAGATAAAATACACACATCTGATGAAAGCAAAAATCTATATTCCTACTATTATGAATGTATGAAGTTGGTTTTACTCAAGCCGTAGCTAATCTCTACAAGTGTGTTAGTATAGACTATAGAAGATCATTTCATTCATGGCATTTCAATTGCAGAAAACCAAAGACCTACAGTGGAATGCCAAATAACCAAATAACACCAAAAAGCTTACATGGGTTTACCATAAAAGTAACTAACTGAATCTTTCTATTTGCAATTGATTAAAGAAAAGTCTGTTCTTTAGGGTCCTAGAGACAAATTTAATCTGGGGATTAAAAGTTGTTTAGATTTCCCAGCAACTCATAATCTACTTTCCAAAAAGCATATTACCTTAAACAAGAAGAATGCACAAAAACCTTGCATGAAACACATTGGATCTAACTTGTAAACAACAATTTATATTGACCAGTCAATACCCAGTAAGATCAAAATAAAAGGAAACAAAATTGAAGAATGCAACTCACCGACATTTCAATAATGTAGAAGGAATTCCCAAGAAGAAGATAAATCCCAAGTAAATGGAGTGGGTGTCGGACATGCAGAGGAGGAGAAAAGGCAGATATTGGAGATGCAGACGAGACGAGGAATTAGGGGCAAAAATGTCTTTGCAGAATGTGAGGTTGGATTGGCGCCTTTTTTGCCGGCAAAGCGTCCCTGTTTTTTTTAAAGTCCCTGAACTACTCAGCTGGATATACATTAGTCCAATTCAAAACATCATACCATATTTACTCTGGCATTTTTAGTTAGATATTATTTATATCAATTAATATTTAATTTTAAATTAAAAATTTGTAAAAAAATTAATTAGAAAATGCTGAAACCAAAGTTCAACACTCCAAAAGGCAAAAGTGATAGATAGAATGTTAGAAATTTTTAATTTGTATGAGTTGTCATTAATTGTAGATTTTGATTTAATTAAAATAGAGTGACAAAATTGATTCAAAATAATAATAGGATAGAGTGTGTAAGGCCCTAAATTGTATTAGTTTATGTGGGCCATAACGGTCTCATTTAGAGTGAATGTGAGACCAGCTAGTTTTGATCCAAACTCAATAGGTTTTTGTTGAGGAAGACCATTAAGGTTGTGATAAGAAGCATTTTTATATATTTTAATCTATTATATTAGCCTTGATTTTACTACTATTTGTAAGGATAATATCTGATTTCCAATAGATTTTATATAATTTTTATTTTTTGTGCAGGTAAAGACTTAAATGCATAATAATAAGAGTTCTTGGGATAAATTGAATTTTTTTGAAAGTTGAGAACTGAATTTCGCAAAGAAAGGCAATTTTTTGAGACGTAAATGAATGAATCTTAAGTTTTGGGATCTAAATATCCATTTTTGAAAAATATAGGGAACCAAATCTGCTATTTTACCATTAAAAAAATTATAAAAAATGCATAAACCTGACACAGTTGTGGTGTCGACACGTAACTCGGGATGTTAGAACCCTGCGTTAAGCATCCAAAGTTGAAGTTTCCTGTTCTGTCCTATCCTAAGTCCTAAGTCCTACTTCTTTTCTATTAGGGTTTCTTAAAACTCTATAAATATCCATTCAAAAATTAGATATAGGGTTTTTGAGAGGAGACCAAGAGAGAGACAACTAAAAGGAATTAAACAATAAAAGAAAATCAAGACTTGAGATCTTTTATGATATTGGATACTATTATGTTCATTATGGGATTGTTGATTTTTTTTTTTTAATTATAAATTGATTTAACCATCTAAGATTACGATGTAACTCAGTCAATTTGATATAGAATTTTATGATTTTTATACTTTTAAGGTTTATTATTTTATGTAGAGTATATAGTATTGTTCTTGATACTTTTTAATGATTGGTCACCATAAAAACTAATTTGGAGAGCATAATTGAGACTAAAAAGAGATTTTATGCAATAGTTTCTAATAATATATACCATAAATTGAATGAAAATCAGAAATGGACTAACGTGATTCGTGCAATATTAGTAATAAGTGAACTTAATTTTCTACCTAAACTAGGGAATTTTGTAGAACATAATGCATTTTTATCTATTTAAACTCACATAAAGATATAGTAAGTTAATAGGTGAAGATAAGTTTGATATAACTTGAGAAAGTATATCGAATAGAATCAAAAGTCCTACTGTCATATGAATAATAAATACTTTGAAAGTATATTAATCTAAATTCTATATTCATATCCAAAAAAAATTAATCTAAATTCTATATTAATTGATTATGGTGAAATCGAATACCTTAGAATTTTAATTTTTAGTGTTACTTAAAATCAATTTAGTTTTTCTTTAATTGTTTACTTGAATTGTTTTAGTTAATTACCTTATTTAAATCATTTAATTTCAATTATTCAAATAAAATTAGAATTAGTTAATTTTGGTATTTAATTAGTCTGCAATCTTTGTACTAGGACGATACTCTATTCTCATCATTATATTACTTGAATTGATTAATACTCTTACTAAAGTAAATTTAACTCATCAGCTTGCACACTATATATAAATGGCTAGGTCTCATATTCATGTATCTACTCCTTGAGAATCGAATTTGAAAGTAGTCAATAGACAGGAAGTATCACGAAATTCTTAACATTGTAATCTTGCAAACTCTATTGCTTCTTCAATTGCATTATCAGACACTCTCTATTTAATTATATTATTTTTAGTGTCTTGAATTTATACACGTCAATTCTATTGTTTCTACACATGCTATTAGAGCAATTGCATGTGAATTTGGGATCCAAGGTCGATTTTCAACCTGTTGACTATTTGTTAAGTGATGTCGACTAGGGAAATTAAAACCCTTTTTGATCTTTTATTTTTGTTTTTGTTTTTTTTTTTTTTTCAATGAAGGGAATTTTGGGGATAGGGGAAGATTTGAATATCGAATTTAAGATATAGTTGTCCTTGACTCTTAATAACTAATCAAAGGAGAGTGGCCATTAGGTCACTTAGTGTCGAACTTTTGATCCTATATTTTATGATCTTATTATTCAATAAATTTGATTTCAAAAATCATGTTTTTATTTATTAAATTATAATTTAATATAGTTTATTTGGGATTCATTACATTCTAACCAAGAGTTGTGCCTAATAAATATTACAAGGATAATAAATTAATTAAACATTTGTGG